GGTAACGCCGCTGCGAATTTTTTACAATTGTGCAATTGTCAAAAATCCCCTTTTTAATCAAAAAGTTGTTTATTGAAACTATCTTCTTTTTTGTATCATGTCTTTTACTATTGTTTTATTCAGAATCTAATAAAGTTTTTACACACAAATTGAAATAGACAAAGTATTTAAAGCTAAATTGTGCGATTTATGTGTAAAATTGGGGAAAACAAAGTGATTCGGTTCTCGGCGAAGAACCTATATTACGGAAATCGGGGTTTTCTTTCGTACAAATCACACGTGGGAATCCGAAAAACCCAGTTAAAGCGTTTCTAGGGAAAGTGGTGGCACACGCGGTGCATAGTATTATGTGAAACATGCTATTCATATATGCGTATTTATGTGTTTAGATAGGTTATGTAAAAAAGTGCAATGCTGAAAGAAACATGCACACCTATGTATGTGCATAGTAGTGTGCCCAGATGACAACAAAGTATGGGCACCTATCAGCGTTGCCATAGACAAATTTTTTTTCCTACCATAACCAACCAAAACCTACCAAACATTTTTTTGGGTTTTAATATTTGTTTTCGATTTCAAATTTTTTAAAAATATAAGGGGAATTCCAAAACGTCAAAAAAACAAAGCATTAGCCTCTTTTATTTCTAAAGCGCACTAGAAGAAAAAGTCTAACTTGCGCAACCTAGTTGGAAACTAGCACCAAACCGTGGTTGCGAACATTTGGCATTACAATCTTCAGCGGTTTGGAAGTAAAAGAGACTGATGCTTTGTATTTTGACGTTTTGGAATGCAGCCATAGTTAACATAACATTTAGTAAAACTAAAACACAACTAGATTAATGAAAACAAATTAACTGCGTATAACGATTCATTTTACTGAACAGACTTATCCATATGTACATATGTCTCTTTACACATACATACATATCGTCACTAGATACGAATGAAGACGCGAGCTCCAAAGTTGATAGCGAAAAAAGAGGCGTAAAAAAAATTTCGCCGAAGAAAGACTCTTAACATAGATGACGGCAAATAAAGCCGCGTTAACCTCTTTGACAGCGAAGAAAGACCCATAAACTTATGTCCGCGGTCAACTATATATTCGAGCGCAACAGTATTCCCCAGATTTCCCCAAAGAGTTTTTCCGAGCTTTTTATTCGTGTCTAGTGACGATATTATTATTATTATTACGTCGAAGATACCCGTGCTGCGACCTAAGAAGATATATTGTGCTAAATTAAAATTGTAGTCACTCCAACCTTAGGCTATTTAAAAAGCTCAGCACTTTGGATGAGGCCATGTTCCAAACTTTAGATGAAGAAAGCAATCGTTCTCCAAGGTGTATCAATCTACGATTCATGCTTCGTGGACAGGCACATAGAATATACTCTGTGGTCCCTACAGTCCGTCTCTACAGAAAGACCCATTTAATTAAAACCGTACGTTAACTTGCAGTCAGGTTGACAGTAAGAGCTCTAAATCTTGGTTTTCATTAGGTCATATTTGACGTCAAATGTTGTCAAAATAATGAAAACGGGTTGTCATCTGGTGTCATTTGCGTTTGTTGTCATATATCACCACGCACGGTCATATAAAATGACATCCAAATGAAAACGGCCCTCGCCGCTGATGTGACAGTATTTGACAACCAAAATGTGTTTGCCAACATGTTGGCATTTTGATTTCGTTTGCCATGCGAACAGCTGATTCTAGCTACAAAAATTGCTAAGGTATTGTCTTACCTTTAGCTTACCTTTTAGCTACAAAAAACCCAAAAATGCAGATCGATAGAACTTTTCACGCAGATTTCAACCATACCCAATTATTTGGGGAAAGTAAAAAACAAAGAAAATATAACAGGTTAAACTACAACTTTCCTATTTTTTATATGTTTCATATCTCGGAAACTACTTGACCGATTAACAAAATATTAATGCCAATTCAAAGATAATTTTAATAGGGTTTTTACGATGTATTTACTATAACCATTTTTAAACCAAATTTTTGGTAAATGCTATTTAAAAAAAATGTACTTTCGTTAAATTTTGCCATATAACAAACCTTTTATATAAGGTAATAACTTGTAATTTCTAAATAATATAAATTTCTGTAGCATTAATTATGCAATTTTCTCCAAAAAAGGTAATTTAATGAAACAATTTTTTTTTTGTTTTTTAGTATTTTTGATTTAAAAATATAAAAAAATCAGAGAAATTATGTACATCATCTGAAAGATAAACTAATCGTCTTTATTTTGACATCATTAGTGGTTTAATCGGTTATGTTGTTCATAAGATACTGATATTTCAAAATATCGAAAAATTTAACCTAACCCCCTATATCTTAATTTTTTACTTGCGCTAAATAATTTTGGTAAGGTTGAAATCAGCATGAAGGGTTCTACATAATTACATTTTTAGTTTGTCTATAGCTTTTGACGTCAGAAATGCAAGCGGAATGTCAATCATCTGACACCGAAACTTGCCGACAGTCTTTGACATGCACTGCGGTATCGACATTTGGTCAGTTTTTAAAATGTAATGGAAACGTATTTGACACCAAATGAACAGCTGTCAGATGAACGCAGTTTTTGATGCCAGTGATTTTGACCTAATGAAAACCAGCCTTAAGTTCAAGGTGTCTTTCGGAGTTCCTGCCGGAAAGAGTTATGCATATCTTTGATTGTCTTATTCCCTTTGACTTCCGCCAGTAGGCAGAAATTTGAGATTATTCCCAGCTAGCTCCTAAGTAGGTCTGCAGTGTATCCATTAGATGTACCACAGAAAGGCTAGGTACCATGCAAACGCATTAGGGTTTCACGCTTTGCGAGACAGTCAGCCCTTTCGTTGTCTTCAAACCCTTCATGCGTGACGCTATTGTGGGCTCGCAGGTGGTTCAAGAGTTTACAAGCCTTGATGCCGTTTTAAAAGACTCTAAGGCCTTAAACACTGCCTGAATGTCCGACATAATATTTATTCTGGCCTCATTTGCCTTCTACGGATGACATTTGCGAACACAGACTTCGATTGGGAAGACTTCCGCCTGAAATAAGGTTGAGTACGAGCCCATTGGCAGACTTTCTGGAATCTTGGTCCAAGTACGCCATAAATTATATCGCTACCTAAAGGTGAAAAGGCGCCAAGTCCATTTTTTTTAGTTAAGTTTTTGATGCAGAATAACAGGTAATACGAGACTACATCGATTTCTCGTCTCTCCTGAAAAATTTCTAAAAATGGACTTGGCACCTTTTCACCCTTATAACATGTCTAACTATTGCTGTCCACACTGCGGTTTGAGGTTTATAAAGCAGTACAAATGTAGAGAACAGTGTTCGGACTTACAAAACTCGATTCAGGACTAAAAATCTGAGCAAAAACAAATTTTCCGTACTAGATTGAATTTTTTATTTTCGTTTCTGTCATTAATTGTTTGACTTAAATATTTTCTATTCATGTAAAAATAAGAACGCGAGGCAATGTAAGGATAATATGTTAAATATTTAGGTACTATTTAGCATTTTCTATAAAGTAGAACGTTTCTAACACTTAATTTTTTAAAGAGCAATAGGATCTAAACCTTTTCTACTTTATATAAATTTCATTTTACATATATTTTTTAACAACTTAAGTAAAGTTCTGCATCCGCCAATTTCTACAGCCGTACATCAAAAAATAACCAAGTTAAGTTAAGTTTTAACAGTGAGATTTGGCTAACTTTCAATTTTTTTACTGAAACCGGTGGTGAACACTCAAAAAACGGCCCCAAGAGGAGCATAACATGAATGAAATAAAAACGGAATAGATTTCAAGTCAAGCGGAGTAGAATAAAATTTTTTTCAAAAACCGAAGTAATTCTAATCTGATCTTAGTGAGGTCCAAACACTAGTAAGGAACGAATTTTTTACATTTTAACGCTAATGACCCACAGATGGCGGGAAAACACAGGGTTGTATCAGACTTTCGGCGTGGTTTCGAGTTGGTTAGCTTTTAACCATCTCAGTGAAATGGTTAAGTGCTGTCATTTTTATATGGCGAAACTACGCTAAATAAAGTGGGTTATCGGGATAACCAACTCAACAGCCATAACTACGTGGTTAGCTCCGGTGGAGACATGGTATTAGGTCACGATATATGGATGTCCGTATTGCATATTGGCAATAATAAGGTATACGTTTGAACTTAGGAATCAGGTATATTTACATGTTTCTGGCCGCCATGATACGAACGCACCGGTGAAATACTTGTGTAAAAAAGGTTGCTAAAATATTTGGAGATACGTACATATTTTCTATTTTTCGCAAATAACTATTACTCATTGTGTTATAGTGAAAACGAAAAAAAAACGTGGTGATTGAGTGCGATTATATTGGTATTTATTTTAGGTAATTATCTAGTTGGGCTTTTAACGCCCATTTTTTGTTAATAACTTTTGATCGGGTAAAAAAAGTTAATTTCCGCTCTCGGATTCTTGTTATTGGGGACCAGACGCGTCTTCCCAAAATTTTTACCAATTTTGGGAGTTGAAAGCCCACCTATATAATTACGGATTGTAACCCTCACTTGCTTCTCCTTTCTGTATTGCCATAAAAAGAAGCCGAACTATTTCTGCGCAGAACCTCTTTCTGAATAGGCGGCCTTCGGCCGCACTTAGGGATTATAACCCTCACAAAGTAGAATTCTTTTTCTGTGTTGCGAAGAAAAAGCGCTGAACACCTTTTGCAGAGAACACCTTTCTGCGTAGGTTAATAACTTTTAATCGGGTACTTGTTATTGGGGTCCAGGCGCGTCTAATGGTACCCCCTTTCCAAAATGTTGACCAATTTTGGGCGTTGAAAGCCCACCTAGATAATTACCTTATTTTAAATATAATAAGTGAAACTTAGTGAAGATTAGCAAAAATTGTTCATAAAATATGGTTTTGGGTACAGAAGTGTTCTACAATCGCAGAGCATCAACACAGCTCGATTATTTTTATTTATTTTTTATTTATTTCTTTTTCAGCGCCAATGTTCTTAACGTTAAGATGCACCCACTTTTCCCGGTAATTTAAGCCTCTTGGCAGGCCAAACAGATGCACGAACTTGTTCTATATTAAAAAAATAAAATTTTAACAAATCAAGAGTTGAATTAAATCGCTTCAGAAATATATAAATTGAAAAAAAAATCCCTATGAAGAGGAATGTGAATAAACCGCAAAATCTTACGAAAAAGTGGCAAAAAACGCTAAGAAAGTAATTTTCAGAAATTCGCTACCAACTACAACGATGGCCAAGTGTGGATCTGCAGTTGAGGAGGTCTACGTAAAATCGCTTACGATAAATGAAGGTAACTATTTGTAATTTAAACTAAGGGTCAGTTTCTCAGTGCACGTCTGCAGTTTCAAATCGGACTGACTGGATTATACCCAGATTAGCCAAGCAAATGTCCGCCAGCTGTTCACTGCAGACGCAGTTTATGTGATCTAAGTTTAAACTGGCACGAAGAAGCTGGCCCTAAGAAGATGCAACAATTTAAAGTCTATACAATGAAAATATAGTTGAAAATGTTGGTAGCGGTAGAAACTCTTCTCCTAATCGTCCTCAGCATTTGTTTCCGTGTGATAGGGTGGTAGTAATAGCAGTTTGACAAGAGGTCTTGTCACAGTGCCCTTTTCGGTCAGCATGTCAACAACTCGGACTCTACTGTCCTAACCTGGGTGCAAATTAACCACCCTACGTAGTCTCCATTCGTAAGGCGAGAGAGTATCTTCTTTTATGACCACCATATCTCCTACTTTCATGTTTGCCTTTGGATGTTTCCACTTTGTGCGTTTTTGTAGCTCGATCAGGTATTCATAAGCCCCCCATATGCGGAGCTGCGACAGGTATGAAATGTCAGGTTAGTGATTGGTGAACATATTTTGATACCGTCTGTGTACGCGCGTCGGAAAGAAATGCCTAAAAATCTGCTTTTAACGCTCTTGAAGCTCCTACAAAGTTTGTCCCATTGTCTGAGTAGACATTTTTTGGGCACCCACGTCTGGAAACGAATCTTGAAAATGCCGCTAGGAAGGATTGGGTACTCAAATCATTTGTGGCCTCTAGATGGATGGCCTTCGTAGAAAAACAGACCATAAGACAGACGCAACCCTTTGAAATTCGGCACCCACACCCACGATAGCTTTTTATTTCAAAGGGTCCAGCGAAATCCACACCTGTATTGGTAAGTGCTTGCGAAAATGTGGTTCGCTCTTGTGGAAGGATCCCCATAAGTTGGCTTTGCGAGCGTTTTTGGTGAATAGTACATATTTTGCAATTATGGATGGTGGATCTTATTAGTGTTTTCACCTTTGGAATCCAGTACTGCGTTCGGATGAGACGCAACATGAGTTGGTTTTCGCCATGGAGAGAGATGTCGTGTACAAATTGGACTAGTAGGCGCGATAACCTGCAGCTGTATGGGAGTATGACTGGATGCCGTTCACTATATGCAAGATCAAGAGATGCACCAAGACGACCACCAGTTCTCAGCACATCATCTTTATCAAGCAGCCAAGAAGGACCTTGCCACCACAACGAATTTTATACCAATTCATGCGCTAATATGCCCCTACTTGCTAAATCTGCTGGATTTGTGGCAGAGTCGACGTGCAACCAGTTAGAATTCCCTACCTTGTCTATTATTTTTGTAACTCGATGGGCAACGAATGTTGACCACGAACATGGGGGCTTACGTATCCATGCTAAAACAATAGTCGATTCGGTCCAAAGATGCATGTTTAGATGGCCTAATTCAAGGTTATTTGTAATTGATTCGACTATTTCTTCTAGTAATACCGCCCCGCAAAGTTCCAACCTAGGCCATGAAATTGTTTTCACTGGAGTTACTCGAGTTTTCGCCAACAGCAGGTTGACATGTATTTCCTTCTCTTTCGACACGTAGGTAGACTGCGGCCGCGTATGCCTTTTCGGAAGCATCGCAGAATCCGTGAATTTCGACGCTTTCCCTTGGTGAGAAAGATAACCATCGCGGTATCCTTATTTTATCTATTTCTTTATAATTTTTTGTAAAATTCTGCCACCTATCTAAGGTTGGCACGGAAACCGTTTCGTCCCACTTTGTACCCTCCAACCATATATTTTGCATAAGTATTTTTGCAACTATTATTATTGGTGCTAGCCAACCCAACGGGTCGAGTAGTTTGGCGATCGCTGACGATATCGCTCTCTTTGTTGGCGTGATGTTATCTTCTATGGTCTTGGGTATGAAATAAAATTGGTCGGAATGCGCATTCCACCTGATACCTAATGCTTTTACACTGCTAGTATCCTCGAATTCTAAGATACTTCATCTGGTTGGCATCCACGAGAATTTGCCAGTACATCTTCTCAATATCGCTATTGAAGACGTAACTAAAAAGCCTCTAGCGGAGAATCAAAATTGGTAAATCAGCTTGAAGGACTGGTAAAAGAACATCGTTCTTGCTGACCCAATTCGCTGAAGAAGACGAAGCATTAAAAACCACCCGAACCTTTGTTGATATACTTTCTTCTTTTATCACGGCATGATGAGGCAGATAGTAATTGTCGACTGCATCGGCCAACTGAAGTGCATTGATTTTTGACATATGTCCCATTGTCTCGTACTCCAGTATGACCCTGTTGTATTCCGCTTGCAAATCTGGATTTTTCTTGAGGCGTGTCTCGTTTTTGTAGAATTGCGAGCACGCTATTCTCAGTGATGGCCCCAATTTGGTATCAGCCGTGAACTCCGCTTTGAATGGAAACAAAACGATATACCTTCCGTCTGGGTTCCATTTGGTCGTACGCTTGTAGAGCTCCTCGCACTGCGTTTCTTCGGTTGTTGGCGCTCTGTTTCTCGGCAGATTCTCCAGTTCCCAGAATGATCATAACTGTTTATCAAGGGCAACCTCATTGTAAAATGAAACTCGATTATTGCTGGTTGGGCTGGCTGCATCAGCGCGACCAGTCAGTATCCAACCGAATACTGTTTCTTGCGCTAAGAGAGTACTGAAAACGTTCTTCTTAATTCCACCTAATGTTATTTGGGGATATATATCTCCTCCAAGAACTAGGTCGACTTGCTCATTCACAAAAAACCTTTTGTCTGCCAAACCAAGATCAGGAAAAACTTGTTGGGTGAGTGCGCTAACATGACAAGTAGGCAAATTCCCTGTCAGATTTGGTAGAACTAACACAAGGGCATCAATAGAAATAAGAGGGTCAATTGGTGACCGCAATTGAATCGAACACGATTCTTTCACTTGCGCTGAAACAGAATTATTGATGCCCGAAACTTGTGCTAACATCTTCTTGGTCGGATAGTTGATTCTGCGTCTGAGCCTCTCCGTGATGAAGGAACACTAAGAGCCAGAATCAATTAACGCTCTTCGCAAAGTTAGTACCGTTAAAATGAATATTTACTCGAGCTGTCCCAAGTAAAAGGCCTTTGCTGGAATTCGCGTGATGTGATTGCACATATCTGACCGCTTTACCTTTTCCCTTTGAAGATTGGTTCTGTAATTGTGCCTGCCTGGATATCGATGCACCATTGTTAACTGGATTGGCTGTATTCTCCTTTGTCGTTGTTTTACCTGGAACCGCCTGTATATCAGAGCTGTGTAAGTGTGAAATCATTTTCAATTTTAAATCAAAAATTTTTTTCTATCCAGTTTTCATTACTTATTCTTCGCTTAAGATTGGGGTTTATATTTTTTTAATTTTCCATTCACTCAAAGCAGTTATGAACTCACACATCAACATATTCATAGCAAGATTGAAAAAACCAATGCCCAATCAAAAAAAGGTTTAACACTGAATCCGTATTGAAAAGGCTGCAATCTTTTATGTGTGTGCATTCTCTAATTCAGTACCAATCATTAGTTCAAAGACACCCTGGTAAACAACTTTTTGATAAAAAGGAAGATTTTTGACAATTGCTCAATTGTAAGAATTCAAACCGGCGTTACCCAATTTAAGTTTTTTGGTAAAGGCGATTTTATATCATAGGTTTGGGATTATATATAAAACAGTTGTATTAACATTTACGTTTTAAATATAATTCATATCTTATCTTCAAAATGTTTAAAATTTACATTAAATTAGATAACTACTTCGCAGCTTTACATTTAGGTTAATAAAATTTTAGTGAAAATATTTTAAAAATCTCAGTGTCTTTAATAAAAAAAACTGCTCATCATAAAAATTTGAATCGCCGTTCGGTGTCGGCGTAAGACTGTAGGTCCCTCCCATTTGTGTGACAGCAAGGGCGCACGCTACAAATCGGAGGAGAAGCTCGGCCAAAACTTAGCAAAAGTGTCAAGGCCAAAATATGATTATTATAAATAAATTTAGTTTCAAACAGGTCGCAACCCTCTTCAAATACCTCAAAAGTATTCCCAATATTATTTAGTTGTGAACCCGCATGAGTCCGAAATTACCATTTTTTTTTACCAGAATTTTCAGATTTTACCGGAAATCTTACTTGGTTTTCTGGCAACTGAGAGGACAAATAAGAGAGTAAGTAAGGTCATCTCTTTGTCAGAAGCTACCAGTTTTAGTCCGACGATTTTTTGGTGGTAAATTCTGGTAAATGTGATCCGATGTAGTGGGTTTGACAAGTAAGTTGTAAACAAAAGAGAAGTGCACTCTGCTAATGCATGTTGAAAAGTATTTAATTACTTGTGTAAGTGGATTCTAATGAATTTTGGTTAAATTACAAAACGATTAAAAATATATTAGCCGTTATTTTACGTTTAAAAACTTTAAGGCGCGTATTCATAGTCCAGCAACTAAGTCGAAACTAACAAAGTTGCAACTTAGATTTAAGTACCAACTTAAAATTTACCTCTATTCATAGTAGCATTTCAGACTTCTACTAAGTAGTTTCGACTTAGTTTACGATATAGCAAAACGAGTGTGAAAATGTATAGATTTTTCTTTACAATATTTATATATATTTTGGAAAAATTACATTTTTATTAAATAATGTCAAGTTTGATCATCCCTTTATGTAATTTTCTATTTTCATTGCATGATTATGCAAAAGAATAAGGTATCATTTTCTTGTTAATTGTGTGAAATAGCCAGAACAACCACAGTGATGTGAAGTCGATGTTTATCGAAAGCATGCTGTGAAACATACAAATAGTAGATATCTAAATGTTGTGCACAAATTTACTTTAAAAGAACTAGCGTAAAACTGACTTATTATTTGAGAATTTATCTAAATTATTCCAATTATAAATTTGTGATTTAGCTTTATTCGAATTGTAATACGCATTTGATTTGATCTTCCGATTAAAATGGATCGATCTTTGTAAATTT